ATTTATTTGTATTTAGATTATAACCATAAATATTTTATTTTCAATAATATTGTCAAAATGAATGTTTGATAAAATAATTGATTGTTATAATCTTATTGAATTGAATAATAAATGAAATGTAAACAAAAATCGTATTCATTTTTGTATCGCAATTCATATCCTGTACTGAGTCTCGAGTTTCACTAAATCTTCGCTCAATTGCCACAAATCGTGAGCCGTTTGGTCGTCGACGGCACGACTGACCATTCGGTCCACTCGACGACAGTTACTTAAATGAGACACAAAAACACAATTTAATACCAAATACACGGAATATGACATGAAATACATACTCATAGTAGTGACCCGACTCATTGTCCACCATCTCGTCCAACGCACAGTACAGGTAGGTTTGCGGTCCCATCTCAATGCTCAGGGTGAGTAATGCCATGAAAAACCGGCCCACAATATTACGTCCGGGTCTCGAGTTGACAATACCCGGGTTAATAGCATAGGTCTTGACATTACTATCTTTGCCACCCAATCGTGTGGCCATTTCCCGAGCGAACAACACCAGTGCCAGTTTGGTCTGTAGGTGGGCTCTGATAGCAGTGTAGGCGCCGTTACGGAGGTTAATGTTACTCAGATTTATTTGCCCGAAAACGTGTCCATTCATCGACACGTTGATGACGCGCGCGCTCACAGACTTCCGCATCAATGGCAACAAATGCATAGTTAATAGAAAGTGACCTAAAATTTATCAATTATTTTGCGAAATCATTACAAAGTATTTTATTTACGAAACTTTATTTTCGTGCGAAATATAAGTTATACCCAAATAGTTGGCCTCCAATTGCAGTTCATAGCCGTCTACCGACTCCTGTGCCGGTCCAAATACTACGGGGGTGTTTGCGTTGTTGATCAGTATATCCACTTTGGACTCACTTTCCGTGATTTGTTTGGCGAACTCGCGGACCGACTTCAGCGACGATAAGTCCAGTTTAAGGGCCGTTATATTGGCGCCGGGATTACGACTCTTAATCTCATTCACGGCTTTCTCGTTATTCTCGGCATTTCTCGAACCGATTATTATTATCTGTAGAAAATGCAAATTCATTACAACTTTATTCACAAGTTTTATACAAACACTTCAATAATATAAAACTTTATACAACTTGTTGTAAAAGTTACAACTTTTTTGTAATTATGTTATATTACATTGGATTGAGTGGTGGCTTACCTTCGGTCCCCTCAACGACAGCTGATATGCCGTCTCTTTGCCGATACCGGCATTTCCACCGGTGATCACCACTACCTGTCCGTCCAGACGTCTGGTTCCCTGGAATTTGCGCCGACACCTGAACATCGTGGTCGGGAACTCCCTTAACAATGACAGCACTGCCATAAAGTTATTCATATTTATTAACTAGCTTAAATAATGAATACAATAAATAAGTTATAGGTTCATTGGTGAATTATTTTTTGAATGATTAAGTTAAATGTTATGTAGTTTTGTTGACAGTTATGA